TTGAAACCAGAGCAAGCAACGTGTGTGAGACCAACAGAACACTGGCTGGATGTAGTTGCTCAGTGTACTGATGGAGTGATCCAACAAGTGGCAGACCAGGAGGGAAGTCAGATTCAAGCTGAGGTCATACACAGGGAGCCGAATCTTGAGGTGCCGAATCACAGATCAGGAGCAGGGTCAGGAAACGTAAGACAGGGTCATACACAGGAGATCAGAGAGCAGAGGTACCAAATCAGAAGCAGGAAGCCAAGTCAAATGGTCACAGGCCGGGTTCATACACAGGAAATCAGGATACTGGAACAGAGTACAGGGCACAAAAGCACTAGCTGAAGACCACTAAGCAACACCAATGGATTACATGCTTGTGTGCGTGCACATTTTTGGGCAGGAGTCAATCTTACAATATTGCTGACCGGCACTTTTTTGAGGTTTACCTTCCTCTAGCAGAGCCCTTTCTGAATACTGAAATAATTTGGGGAACTCTGGTTAGTGGATCTTATTATTGCATAATAAGCCAAAACAGGTACTCACAGCAGGGAGACCTATGAGCCTGCATAGTTGCACTATAGAAAGTGTAAGCGGTTCGTTAATACCAATTTTACACTATTTCACACTTAAATCAGTATTGTATGGTCTTGTGTCCAAAAATATAGTGTACATCTTGTTGAAGAAATTTGGAGATTACACAAGACAAGTTATGACAATAATACATTATTCTTCTGTGGAACTGGCTATAGGAAAAGAACACTTTATTATGGTTTCCTACAGCCAGAATATTTTGTAAATAAAGACCCTTAGAGATCCTCTCAAACTGCCAATACATGAATCACATTTCTGAGATATACTGCATAAAAGCCAAGTATAAATGGAGCGTAAAGGACATGTATTTCTTCTGATGGCTATAATCAATGTATTCATATGATATCTGAAGGCCCAACCCTTACATACATCCAAACAGGTTCAGTGAACTAAAATCAAGTTTTTCTTAGTCTGACAGCTAGCGAAAGGCGTTATATAAAGCTTGCTGGTGTCGTTGTCATAAAATCAATGGTAGAAACATAATCAGAAGCAGCTCAAAGATGAACTTTCATGCTCAGTTAAACCAGAGAAACATAGTCTTTTAAACAAAAAGCAATTTGCTCTCTATGGAAAGTCATCGCGTGGCTTCTCTTAATAGGAAACGATTGCAGATCAATGTTTTTAAATGAAAAAGTTCTCCCTTGCCATAGCCAGCCTCGTAGCTTTGCTCTTTCCCACATTTAGCATATCCACAATTACTACAAGCATACAAAAAGGAGAACAAACTATAGTACTTTCGCACAGACATGTTTAATTTCTGTTGTTCACAAGCTATGCCGAAAAATTTATTTTGGCACACAGGATTCTCAGCACTAATAATGTAGTGCTCCATAAATGAGAATTAAAGCTGCTGCTAAAGGACATTTTTTCTATACTAGCATCACTGTGACAGTATTAATCATCATGTTAACACTGTATTTTTCATTATGATAGGACACATTTGGGTCTAGTTCTAGCGGAGGAAGTTAAAAGCTGGCATAGGGGATACATTGAGGTTAAGGGTTACTGACTATTACTTTTTCAGTCATGGTAATATGTGGTTTCCAGTGTGATATATGTGAATCACATGTAGTAAAACGTGTGTGCAAAAAATTGTACAAGAATTCGGGTGCCAAAAACCACATACTAAAATCATCCAAGTCAATTTTCAAGAACCAATGTACAGACCAAATATAGGAACTTTGTTGTTATATTATCAAATTATCAAATGTGTCAGACATTCTTGGATTGTTGGCATATTAAAAAACAGTTGATCAACAGGGATGATTTATTTTATATGCACAGCTGTTTCTCTTTGTGTGGTGAGATAATGTATGCATGCAAGTAGGACGGAGATGAAGTTTAACATTTTTTGAGGGGGCAAAAGGGTTGTTTGTTAATGTAGAACTGCTGTTGTCTGTTGGGCAAGCATGTAGAACCATGTGGAGTGAACACTTGTGGTGAATACTGTACTTTTGTCTCCACTCCACCTAGGTCTTTGGAACTGCTGCACTCAATGTTTTGGGATAGCCCAAACCTGGTTCTTTTCCCGGGAACTTAGGAATGGTTAAAACAATGTGAATTGGAACACAAAAAACCCATCAGACAGTAGAGGTATCTGTAAATTGGAGAGTGTTAGCGATAAAGATCAGTCCAAAGAAGTATATATA